CTCCCCAGGCTCCACCTGAGTCAGGTGTGGGCAGAGCCCCTGCCAGCAGCAGCAGAAGCTGAACCTCTCTGCATGCGATTCCCTATCCCCATCCCAAATACTTGCCTCCCCCAGGCATTAGAGCTTCACAGACCGAAGCATATGAGGTCGGGGGCTGAGGACAGCCCTGTATTTGAGGACATAGGAAATTACCTCAGGCACTGGGAGCCTTTGTGATGAGGCTGGGCAGAGTGTCATAACAGTTTGTCAGCCCCTGCTGAGCCCAGAGCTGACGTGTAAAGTGAAAGATGACCTTAGCACCTCTGTTAAAATCAAGCTCCGCATCAACAGCAAGGGTGTCTGAGTTTAGCTTTTTGCACTAATGCTCTACAGAATATTCGTACACTCAAATCAAAGTCTTGAAGGTGTGGCATAGGAGTTGCAAAGTCACCGTAGGTCCTGTGTGAGTAATAAATTGCAACAGATGTGGAGGTGGTTCCTAGCTTCACTCCCACCACCTTGTTCATTCAAGGACAGTCCCTTCACCTCATCTGCTGGGATATCCTCCAGACCCTAGGGCTTCCTGCTTGTCTGGGTACCTCCACCACTGAATGCTGTGCTAAGCCCAGACCGCAGCTATTCATAGGCAAGAGTTTAAAATATGCTGACATTGCTGTTGGTATGTTTCATTCTGAGTAGATCACCACATCTGGTTTAGTAGACAGTCATACTGATTTAGCTGCAGTGCCATTTGTCCTTCACACTTTTTTTGAGTAATCTTCAGTAACTGGTCAAATTCACACACAGTCAGACTCTCTCTCCTTTACTGAAGATACTCGAGAACTCATGTTAACAAAACTTCCCTGTCTGACCATTCAGGAAGCGCTCTGGAAGTCACACTCCCAAGGACAGGGATTTGAACTGCTGTGACCAAAGCCCCTTTGTGGGTGGCTTCAGTGAGCCCAGGGTGCCCTACTTGACTGCCTACACACCCACTCACAAACAGACCAGGTTTCCTTACCAGCTCGTCCCCAGGTTCCCCATAGCAGTCTCAGACCACTGGTTCCTTTAAGCACTTTTATCATAGTGCACAGACTAAGGGCTCAAGCTTGTGCCTCAGAGGGATTCCCTGTGCCTTTTGTTATGCAGAGGGGCTGCAGTTCACAGCCTCTTGCCTCGGGCTCAACCTGGACACCCCAGACACGTCATGCTGTAATTCTAATCTTAGTCATCTCTTCAGAAAGGGAAAATTAGAAAAACAAGTAAGGATGTACTTCTCTACAGCCCCTTCTGGCACTGCAGATTCTGAAGTTTACCAGGGCACCTCTCACCTCCCTGATTAACCTCCCAGCCATCCTCTAATGCAAAGTGGAACTAAATCCTGCTGTTCTCCAGCAAAACTTGTAATTCCCAAGGAACTTCAATGGATTTCAGATTCCAAACTCCCTTGAATAATCTTCTGATAATCCTTGCCTAAAATGACTATATTTAAAACACTCAAGGTAAGCCCGTGAAGATGAACGAATTCAGTCTTGGTTCGTGCAGTAATTAACCACTCAGTTCTCCAAAGGATTTTTGCCAACCTTTGAATGCAACTTGATGACAGAGGTCAAAATTAATGCTTTCCATTTCTTAATAATTTTCAGGCTCTTGAAACCCACATAGATACGGCAAATTCCCAGAAGTGTCATGCAGATATGGAACATTATTCTAGTTTGCATTAAAGTAAAGCAAAAGAATAATAATTACACATAATAAGGTCAGAGCCACAGGTATGTAGATAGAGTTGGTTTTCAACCAACAAGTTTGGTGAAACAGCGAGGAAATGTGTCTGTCCGTGAGTCCTCACAATGAAATCAGGAGCAACAAACTTAAAACTTTGCA